GTTCTTCAAAAATCCTTCCGCAATCAATACTGTATTCTAGCGTCAGTGATCTGCGTATTAGTTATGCGATTCAATAATCTCATTTAATTGCCTATCATCATAGATAAGAGGTATATATAATTTATGCTTTGCATTGGAATTAACAAAGAGGAATTAAGAGCTTGCCTAGCAATAAAGTAGAACAGGGCTTGAATACAAAAACGGAACGGAACAAGAGTTCAACTGAGAAGCTATTTCTATGTTGTATCAATTGAAATCAAAACTTCAGTTTTTAAAAAAATAGCATATCAGAAGTTTAAAGGGATGGCAGCAAAAACTTTGATTATGGTTTACTTTCTGAAGTTTCAAATATAAAGAATACTTCAGTGTTAAAGGCGAGTCCTGCGCAGAGTAGAATTTCAAAGGATAGTGGGTGTCAAGGTAGCGCTCAGTTATGCGAACAGCGAGAGAATAATGGTAATCAGCACGTGAAGAATTCGAATGTCGGCATGACGGCATTCTAGCTCCATAGAAACCGAAAAGCACTCAATGGCGTACGCTTTATCACTAACGAACACTGTTACTCATTCTAAGTACAAAAGAAAGGTGAACGTGTAGATGAAGGTAGAAGCAAATAAATTTCCAAGTGACGTTCTAGAATATTCCATACATGCTTACTATTAATAAACTGGATTTTTCAATGGTAAAAAAAGATGTGACGATCTCAAAACCCATATAGAAGCGGGGCAAACTAATGTAGTGCACATTTCTATGGGAATGACCCAAATCACCTTGAAATATCATTTGCTATATGATTCTCTTTCACTTTAACTTTCATGTCTAACATAACATTTTGGAGTACTTTTAATAACATTTCCAACCAAATCTTCTCACTCCTCATCAAAGCACTTGAAATCATCCTCATTTTTTTTTTGATTCATTGGGCTATCTGAGATGTCATGAAGTTTTTTTAACACTGGACAAGCTAGATACGAGATTAACTCAGAGCAGTGAAGATTCACAATCCTCTACGTGATATGGAATAGTATATTTAGAATATTTT